CMMYTYTGTCATCAGCCTCTCATGTCCCCTYRGCTCRCTGTTCCACTCCAGAGTCCTCTGGAGTGGCAGGGTAAAGCTCTTGATGTCACCTGGGTGTCATTTGTCACCTCACAGCGCCAACCTGCTGGTCCCCACCCCATTCTCCTGCCACTCCCTGCTCTGTTATTCACATTTTTTAAGAGCCAGAAGTCCACAGCCCTTGGTTCTACATTATTCACTAAAATAAATGTTAAAACTTCCATTTTTTAGGCTGGAATTATACTGGCAGTGCAGATAACCTCAATAGGAGCTGCTGTTTTAACAGTGACCAGAAATAAAAGTTGGAATCATTAWTTTTTTCTGCTTCATCTTTCTCCCTCTTCCTTTTTCCATAGATGCAGGGGTTATGTGGGTGGATTAACTTCAGCTCAGGTCACAGAGATGTTCATTCCATAAGTCCTGCTCTAATTGGCAGCCCAGCACATGAAATATTTTCTCAAAAAGGCAAACAAGACTTTATGTGCTTCGGTAAATCTCACTTACATCCTCAAGAAATACCAGACAGCATTGCACAGCCTTTTAAAATGCTAATTATTGGCATAAATTGTGCATTCTGTACGAAATTTGCAAATTAAGGCATCATTTTAGATTGAAGCGTCTTTTTTTTTTCCTTTTTTTTTTTAAATAACAACTTTAAACTTATCAGTGAGGAGCATCCCATATGTTCCAGGGAGGGATTTCAGAAGGAACGTCTGCCAAGCTCTCACGAGCCTTCCTGGCACTTTTTGTTAGCACCTTCATCCATGGCTTTTGTGTGATGTTTGAGGAGGTTTTTTACTTTTTTTCTTTTCCATTAGGGACGCAGTGATGCCTTTTGTAAAATAAGATGATTAAGGAAAGGTATTTTTTGACTTTCCACACTTTAAAGTAGAAATTAAGGAGAGATTATGTCAATGGGTTTTTTTTTTCTTTGCCTTTTAAATGCACGTTCTTTAGTAGGAAACCTGTGGCTGGACCCCACCAGAGCTCATTGGAAATGTTCTGCCCTCGGGTCACCCCCTTGAGGAGAAGCTGCTGCATCATTAGGCAGATCCTGCTGGAAAACAGAGCCCTTGTCCAGAGAAATTCCAAATTATCCCCACTAATTCCATGAAGAGCTGCAGCTCAGGCTCCTYATTAACATGGTTGCAGGGTTTCCTGGAAAAAAATTCATTTTAGGGATGCTCGGATGAGCAGGTCCGTGGTGATGTGACATCATTTTGCTTCTTGCCCGTGTGGTTAAACACATTTATTATCTAAATGTAGCACGGCAGCTGGTGCAGCAAGCTGCTCCTGTCAGCTCTGAAATTCCCTGGGAGCTTTTTGGGAAGGGACAATCCCTCCCCCAGGCTGGAGAAGGGATTCGGCTGCCCCAGCCTGAGCAGGGAACAAGCTCTGAGCTGTGTTGGTGCCACAGGGATGGTTATTTAAGGGAGAGGACTTYGTGTTTCTGCCTGATATAAATGGAGATTTTAGGGCAGAATGTGCTCTGTGGAGGGGGTTTTGTTTGCCATCAGGTGCAGAATTCTGGAATTCCTTGGTTTGGGGTAAGGTACAGCATCAGCTCTAAAATAAATCACTTTAGGATGCCTTTTTGCTGTTCACACTCACATATTGTTATTTGGAATAGCAATATTGTGTATTTTTTTCACAGAAGCTGGTCTCTGGTTTTGTTGAATTTGTGGGTGAATGGGAGGGAGAGCTGTTGTTGCACACATCCAGGAAAATTCAGAATCATGGAATGGTTTGGGTTGGAAGGAGCCTTAAAGTTCACCTCATCCCATGGGCTGGGACATCTCCCACTGTCCCAGGGTGCTCCAAGACCTGTCCAACCTGCCCTTGGACAATTCCAGGGATCCAGGGGCATCCTCAGCTTCTCTGGGCACCCTGTGCCAGGGCCTCCCCACCCTCACAGCCAGGAATTCCTCCCCAATATCCCATGTAATCCCTGCCCTATGGCAGGGGGAATCCATTCCCTGTCTCCTGTCCCTCCAGGCTCTTGGAGTCCCTTTCCAGTTCTCCTGTAGGTTCCCTTCAAGCTTCTCTTCCCATCTCCCCCAGCCTTTCCTCACAGGAGAGGTGCTCCATCCCTCTGATCATGTTTGTTCCTTCCTCTGGACATTTAGGAATGTTTTTATCCACGTTTCTGACCTCCTTTTTGAGGCTCCTGTGGTTTTACCTGGCACAGGTAAAGGTCAGAGCTTTGGGCTGAGCCCAATTCCCTCAGCTCCTGAATGAGGAAAGTCTCTCTCCTGAGTTTTTCCACCCCAGCTGTGATGTTGAGTCATTTCTGGGCTGCTCTCACCCCAAAACTGGGCTCTGCCTCTGTCTAAATCTCCTGTCTGCATTCAAAAATCACATTTTTGTCTGTGCTGCTGSTCGTGGCACAGAAATCGCTGTCTGCACAGACACCAGCGCCTTGGCCTGATCACCAATTACATTTTTATTGCAGCTCCCATTAGAAAGCATTTTAATTGTGGATTATCATTAGGATAATTACTGTGGAATAGCTATTTTGGTACATTTCCATTGATATGCAAGCCCGTGCAGAGCCTCTCAGAATCCTTTCACTGCATAAATATGTGCTGCTGGAATCTCAAATGAAGATTTTCTTGTAAAATCTTTCCTGTAATTTTAGCTCTTCAGACATTTGGTAGCTTTATRTTCCATTTCAATGCCTGCCTCGCATTAAATACATATTTGATGCTCATTTTGCATCCCTTGATGCAGTTATTAATTCCCAATTAAGCATCCAGACAGTAAATACTGGCTTACAGGTTTCAACTTGAGCTCATCTTGCAAGAAAAGTTCAGCCCAGGAGGTAAAAGGTGATATTTAGGGCATGAAATACTTTTGTAACAGCTTGTTCAGTGTGTATTTATTACCTGACACGTGGCTGGGTGTTGGGCAGGAGCTGGAATGGGATTTGGGCAGGAGCTGGAATGGGATTTGGGCAGGAGTTGGAATAGGATTTGGGTGGATCCCCAGGGTTGTTCCCATTCCCAGCTTTCCCAACCCTTGTTTCTGCCCTTTCCCTGCCCAYACCATCATATTTGTGTGATTTCCCTGTGAACTGGATCACTCCAGTTGGTCTGAAATGTGGGATTTTCTCTGGATGATGGGAGGTGGCAGCAGGGACAGGGAATGGCTGCAGTGGTCTGTGCCAAAATCCCAGAATCACAAAATCACAGAATCCCAGAATCACAAAATCACAGAATCACAAAATCACAGAATGACAGAAACACAGAATCACAGAATCCCAGAATCACAAAATCCCAGAATCACCAGGGTTAGGAGAGACCTTCAAGATCTTCAAGTCCTCCTCAACTAAGCCACAGCACCAAGTGGCATCCAATCTTTTTTTAAACTCATCCAGGGATGGTGACTCCACCACCTCCCCAGGCAGCCCACTCCAATGCTTTGTAACTTTTTCCTAATATCAAATTTCCTAATATTTCCCTGAGGTCCCAGCCTTCCTGCCCTTGGGAAAGCAGTGCTGGGAGGGAAACTGGAGCCCCTGGATCTGCCAGGGTTGTCCCAGGATCCTGTGATCCACCACAGAAACAGCTTCAGTTCCTCTGATTGTGCCAAATCCTGTCATTCCTCCAAAGGATGGAGTGTAAACCCCATGGTGCTCCCTTTGCACCCCAAAATTTCTATTTCTGCTCCTAAATGAAATGAGTCTGAGTGTCAGGGAGCCTGGAGCTGGCGTCTCTCAGCAGCTGCCCTCCTGTTGCCTCTGTCTGCAGCAGATCTCCCATTTTTTATTTTCATTGCTGCTGTTTTCACTCCAGCTCAGCAAATTCAGCCAGCCCAGAGTTTCCCCAGTAACTCATGGTGTTATTTTCTC